ACCCTGACAACCGCAACCAGTACCGCCAGACCTAGACCTGACCAAACACAACTCGCCTGCCACCATGTCCGCCGACTTCTGGGCTGGCTACATCAGCGGTGCCGTCGGCATCATCATCGGCAACCCCCTCGACCTTCTCAAGGTCCGCCTACAAGCCCCTCCGACCGCTCCTCCACCGGGGCAGATCCCCGCCGCTGCAGCGACCTCATACATCCGTCACTTCGAGACCCCCGCCTCGCTGGTCACCGGCTCCGCTGCTCCCATCCTCGGCTATGGCGCCCTCAACGCCCTACTCTTCGTCTCGTACAACCGCACCGAGGCTGCGCTCAACTCCGCTCTCAACGTCAAATCAAGTCTCTGGACGACGTGGATCGCAGGAGCTGTGGGTGGTCTGGCTACCTGGGTGGTTAGCACACCTACGGAGCTGATCAAGTGTCGCGCCCAGCTGTCCTCGCCGCCAGCATCCAGCTGGGCCATCACCAAGGACGTCTGGCGTGCTGAAGGGATCAGGGGTCTGTATTTTGGCGGCGTCGTGACTGCGCTGCGGGACAGCATTGGGTACGGCTTCTACTTTTGGTCCTATGAGCTCAGTACGCGCTGGATGGGTGTCGGCACCGCTGATGCGACGGGGGAAACAAATTTGCGTGAGGAGGCCGCCAAGGTACTTCTCTGCGGCGGGCTCGCAGGAATCGTTACGTGGGCGAGTATCTTCCCACTCGACGTCATCAAGACGCGGGTGCAGACCCAAGCGTTTGAGAAACCAGCGGAAGCCGCCCCGCTACTCCCAACCCAGGGGTCAGAACCTACCAAGCGCGCCGGCGCGATGCAGGTTGCACGGGAGGCGTACCGTGAGGGCGGTATGAAGGTCTTCTTCAGGGGTCTGACTATCTGTAGCGTCCGGGCTTTCATTGTCAACGCGGTTCAGTGGGCTGTCTACGAGTGGGCCATGTATGAGATGGGCGAGGGCCGGAGACGGCCTGCTGCTGCCCTCGACGTGGGACAGCCGATGTGAGTATGCTTATTTGACGACCTTCCGATTTGGAGTGATACGTGTAACGCTCGTCGGAGAGATTTCTTGTATCTACCTTGATGGCTGGGTAGATGTCCCCGTATTGTTGCCATGCTTACTGTCTGAGGGGAAAGTTGCCGAATACTCTCCGGTGACAAAAATGTCTAGAAAGATGGAGGCAATGCGTTGATATATCAAAGATAGAACCGAGATATTTTAAAAAGGACCAGGATGCCTCAAATCAAGGACCATATACAATAGACCATTTGTTATATGTCACCATTCATAATACAGTCTCGCAGTCATGACCACATCAGTCGAGCCCAAGACCATATCTCTCGCGGAGCTCAACCGCGTCTTTTGGGAGTATGCGCTGTGATGCGTCTGATTTATTTTGCCATGACTGACCAAGTCCCAGTGAAAACGCCGACTCGTTTTACGAGGAAGACTGGCTCAAAGTCTTCGCAGAGCAACTCACCCGCTTCCTCCGCACCCAGGCCTCGAATCTAGGTCTCCGACCCCGCGATGCCTCCGACCCGGTCCGTCTCTTGGACTACGCCTGCGCTCATGGAGGAGCATCTTGGGTATATCATCTTCTGCTGCTGCCAAATATCCAACGCTGGCTAACACAGGTACGTAAACGCAGGCACTGGATCCCTTCGTCGACGAGATACTCGGCATCGATGTCGCACCTGCAATCGTGGAGCGCTTCAACAAGAATGCCACACGTCTGGGATACGACTCTTCTCGGGCACATGCCATCGCTGGCGATCTCATGACCGACGCCTCCCTCCCTGGCCCCGCGCTGTTTGATGTCGTAATCATATCCATGGCGCTGCACCACCTCGACGACCCGCCTGCGATGCTCGTTCGTCTTGCGGCTTGCCTGAAACCCGGCGGCGTTCTCATCGCTGTTGAGGGTATTGACGCTGTAGAGGAACCTTCGGACATGGCGGCGCAGGCTCATGTTGTGCATGGGGCCCACGAGCATAGTCACGGCCATGGTCACAGTCACTCTCATGAAGGGCATATGCCCGAGGTACTCAAAACCACGAACCATCAGGCTTTTGACGAGGAAGTCTTCCGGACGTGGTTTGAGGCCGGTGGATGCGAGGGCAAGTTTGTGTACATTGTCAACGACGAAGTTAGCCACATCCCCGAGAAGGCTTCTGGGAAGGCAGGGGGCCTGAACAGGAAGATGGTGATTGCGGCTGCGATGAAGGAGTAGAAAGGAGACCTCCTATACTTTTTCTCATATGATGCTTATGTCCTCCCATGGCGCCACTTCGCTGACGGCCTCCCCATGCATGATGCCATGAAGATAGGCCTCTCCAAGTAACCTGTAACAAACAGAACCCGAATCTTGGCCTGCAATCCTACGAAGAGCGAGTGGTGACGGACATCCCGCCACTATCCAGAGCGAATCACCTAGCCTCAAAGATTGACATCCAAGCCCGAGATATCCTGTGTTTGTCGTGAAAGGGCGGCGATCCCACAACGTCTCGAACGCCAGGTTGACGTACGCCTGGCAGTGATGTCTGAAGCCGTCAAAGAGACCCTCTATATCCTCCCGTTTGTCGAGTTCCTTGAGCTTCTGGAGATACCCCTTGATCACCTCATGGTCCGGTACCGTTCGGCTCACATCCGATTCGGCGAGTCTCTGGATGCTCTCCAGGCGGTTGAGATACTCCGCCAGATCGGCCCCTTTGTTCGTCGCACAGTAAACTTCCCATACTACGTGATCCGCGATCCAATGGTGGAATGCTCTCTGCAGGCCTGGTGGCGCTGGGTGGCTGAAGGCGTCTCGGTCGAGGATCAGTGTTCGCCAAAATGCCTCGACGCGACACTGACTTGTTGGGCCGTAGACCAGGTCACATTGGAGGAGGAAGTCGGCCCATTGCGAGAAGCTTCCATTCACGGCCAGCTCCGAGTAGACTTCCCCGAGCAGAGAGACTGTTCCGACACAGAATGCCTTCACATGCAGGATACTGTTGTCCAAGGTGCGAAAGTCAGCTGGCACAGAGCGACAGGCGTCAAAGTATGCTTCGCCTGGTGGCCACCTCATCCCTAGGAATGCGGAGGGTCCGCTGGCTGCAAAGTCTGGCACCCAGGAGGGTAGGCCGGAGACTTTTTTGGCTGCGTCATCGGGAACGGCGGTCAAGAGTGTGAGGTTGTTGCAGTCCTCCAAGATTAATACGGCTGTATCTATGAATACGCTGACGGATGTCGAGCAGACGCGGTAATCCGGTTGTATCTCTGTTCGTTCGCGGCCGCTGAGGTCGAGCAGGAGATTGAGGATGCCCATGAGCCCGAAAACGTGATCCCTAGGGTCGCTTGCCTCGACGCCACAGGTCAAGCGGAGCATGAGAAAGAGGAGCGCACCGGCGCAGTAGGTCTTGCCGCAGCCGTCTTGAGATAAACTTGTGGGACCGCCGACGATGTGATCGAGCGTCATGCCATCCCAGCCGGTCAGAATGCCGTGCCTGCACCGCTGAATGGCGACTATGCCCGACGAGTTACTGCCGACGTGGCTGCCCTTGACGGTCGGGTTATTCTCATAGAGCATCTCGGATAGCTGTTCGTAAAGACGGCTGTCGTAGAGGAAGTCCGAGCAGTACGCGACGGTTTCCCATGGGACGACTTCGTCGCCCCAGAGCACGCAGGCGTCTTTGCTGAGAGCCACTTCTTGGACCACCCACACGCGGTTGAACCATGTCCTGTCAAAGAAGGCGATGAAGGCGTACCAGACGTCTTCTGACACATCCGCAAGCCCATATCTTCTCCGCGTGGCATCGTCGAATAAGGTGTCTTCGGACGTGTATTCGAAGTCAGCGCGTGTATTGTCTGCCATTGTGTGGACGAGCCGCGAGACCTCGGCAGGGCAGTCGTCTTCCGTAACGGAACCGAGCCAGATGTCGACGCGAGCGGCCAGTTTATAGATGTGGTCCATGATGCCGACCTGGATCCCGCGCTCCGTGGTGTCTGCCTGGTTGATACAGATTGCGTCGATCCAGTAGAGGTCGCATACATTGCGCGCTCTGATCCAGACGAGGGCATCGTGGAGGTTTGGGAAGACATCAAAGCTGCGGCCGTCGAGGTGGATTGTCACTGGATGAAGGTCCGGATCTTGAGTTGCGACAGGAGAGCCCCATGTGTATGAGAGGGCGTTATATGCTGGCAGGTTAGTCAGAGGGTGTTCTTCGAGGAGAAGAGCTAACGGCTGAGTTTTGGAGCCTCCGCAGTCGAGTATTCGGACCAGGCGAAGGCTACCCATGCCAATAGACGTGCTATATTGGAAACCATCGTGAGAGGCCGACATTGTAGCGTGCATGGGAACCGGAGCGCTCTCTATTGATCTCTATTGATCTCGAAGCATGGCAACTGCAGTTGTATGATTATCTTGGTATATATCAGAATTCTGCCAGCGCTCAAAATCCGAGAATGCACATTAGCTCAACTTCCATGGACGACCTCATGCATCACGAGCTGGGTAGCCACGTATGGCGCTCGAAAAGTGTCAGCTGCATCTCTAGGACAAAGGCTAACGCGACGCCAATCTGGTTCTCACGCATGATAAATCCTTCGGATGTTGGCTAGGATTTTATCGTTCCAACTTTGATGGTTTCGCGTATGAAGATTGAGTAACACGCAAGACGAGTGCGTATCTGGGCTCTAGGACCTGAACAGCAGAGGCAATAGACAATTGAGCAAGCTGCAGTGACATTCCGAGGAGTGCACCGTGCGGCAATGTAAGGTATCGATTGGAGTGGGGCCTTTTGGCACTAGTGCGACGGATGCCTGCTCATCTCACGTGACTGCGTGTTTGAGTGGCGACGCGGGTCGAGTCGCGCTTTCTTGAGATCAACAACCAGGACCGGGACTCTTTCTTCCCCTCCATCTTCGTCCGCCACTCCCTGCCTTCTGCAACGACCACTGAGGCACTGAACACTTTGCACCTGCAGGCCTGCAAAAGTGCCAATCGAGGCCCAAAATGTATGTTTTATCGTCTGAACTCTTCGTCTGAACGCCAATTGCTAATGGGACCCCTCCATAGGACTGCCGACGTCACCGCCACCCCGGGCGCCAACAAGGAGAATGTCCCTTCTAAGAGATGGCCAACTCCTCAGTCCGTTGACAAGTTGCACAAGCCTTTCAAGTGCCCCGGATCCGCGACGCGAACAATTTCTACCGATCGCCCCGCGCGAAAGAAGAGAAAGGTTGATTACAAGGGCGCTGATGGAGCCGTCGACGCGGACAAGCCCTGGACCAATGCCGACAGACTCGCCCTAGCCAACCGGGACGCGAACAAGTTCCCAGTATTCCAGGTAAAGGACAAGTCGACGATATTCCGCAAGGCCTTCTCCATACCTCTCATCAACAAGAATTCGGCCGCCTTCAACCCTAATCGACCCCCGCCAACCCTTGGTCTGCGCACAGGAGCTGTCTTTGTCGCGAAGCCTCTTCATGACCCTAGTGGCGAATTCTCAATCGTACTTTACGACCCCACTGTGGATGACAAGCCGAAGGTGCCTGAGAAGAAGGAGGAACAGAAGGAGCCGGAGCGCGAGAAGATTGATGCGCCTCTCGTACACAAGAGCTTGTCGGAGATTCTTGGAATCAAGAAGAAGGTGGAGGGAGAGCACCCCAGGGTCCCTGTCGTGATTGATCCAAGGCTAGCCAAGGTACTCAGACCGCATCAAGTGGAGGGTGTCAAGTTTATGTACAGATGCGTCACTGGCATGATCGAGGAGAAGGCGAACGGATGCATCATGGCCGACGAGATGGGTCTCGGCAAGACACTTCAATGCATTACACTCCTGTGGACTCTGCTCAAGCAGTCTCCCGATGCTGGCAAGTCTACCATTCAGAAGGCTATTGTCGCATGCCCGTCCAGTTTGGTCCGCAATTGGGCGAATGAGTTGGTCAAGTGGTTGGGTGCTGATGCCATCACACCCTTTGCAATCGACGGCAAGGCGTCGAAAGAGGAATTGACTCGGCAGCTGCGCCAGTGGGCCATTGCCAGCGGCCGATCCGTTACGCGGCCGGTCATCATCGTCTCCTATGAGACGCTGCGTCTCAATGTCGAGGAGTTGAAGCACACCAAAATCGGCCTGATGCTTTGCGACGAAGGCCACAGACTCAAGAACGGAGACAGCCAGACATTTAGCGCACTTAACAATCTGAATGTCACGCGGCGAGTCATCTTGTCCGGAACCCCTATTCAGAACGATTTGTCTGAGTATTTTGCTCTCATCAGCTTTGCCAATCCCGATTTGCTTGGAAGTCGTCTGGAATTCCGCAAGCGGTTTGAGCTGCCAATTTTGCGTGGACGAGATGCCGATGCCAGCGAGGCTGACAGGAAGAAGGGAGACGAATGTTTGTCCGAGCTGCTGGGTATCGTCAACAAGTTCATCATTCGCCGAACCAACGACATTCTCTCCAAGTATCTCCCCGTCAAGTACGAGCACGTGGTGTTCTGTAATCTTGCGCCCTTCCAGCTCGACCTCTACAACTACTTCATCACCAGTCCGAACATCCAGGCCCTTCTTCGTGGAAAGGGCAGTCAGCCGCTCAAGGCCATTAACATTCTCAAGAAGCTTTGCAATCACCCAGATCTGCTTAACCTTGGAGACGATCTGCCTGGGTCAGAGAATTGCTACCCTGAAGACTACGTCCCCAAAGAAGCGCGTGGCCGTGATAGGGACATCAAGCCTTGGTACTCGGGCAAGATGCAGGTGCTTGATCGCATGCTGGCTCGTATCCGCCAAGACACGAACGACAAGATTGTGCTCATTAGCAACTACACCTCCACTCTTGACTTGTTCGAGAAGCTGTGCCGTTCAAGGGCTTATGGATGTCTCCGTCTTGACGGTACCATGAACGTCAATAAGCGCCAGAAGCTCGTCGACAAGTTTAACAACCCAGAGGGCGAGGAATTTGTCTTCCTTCTCAGTTCCAAGGCCGGTGGCTGCGGTCTCAACCTTATCGGCGCCAACCGCCTGGTCCTCTTCGACCCTGACTGGAACCCTGCAGCAGACCAGCAAGCTCTGGCTCGTGTGTGGCGTGACGGTCAGAAAAAGGACTGTTTCGTGTATCGCTTTATTGCCACGGGCACTATCGAGGAGAAGATTTTCCAGCGTCAATCCCACAAGCAGTCCTTGTCCTCTTGCGTCGTCGATTCCGCCGAGGACGTCGAGCGCCACTTCTCCCTGGACAGTCTGCGCGAACTCTTCCAGTATCGACCCGGTACCAATTCAGACACCCACGACACCTTCAAGTGTAAGCGGTGCAAGCCTGATGGCAGGCAGTATATCAAATCGCCTGCCATGCTGTACGGCGACACGAGCACATGGAACCATTTCGTCAACGAGGGGCTTAAGCCTATCCAAGATTTGCTGTTGAGACAAGAGTGTGGTGAGCCAGAAGTGTCAGCGGTGTTTCAGTACATCTCGCATTAGACGGTGTTGCTTGCATGATTATGATTAGAACGATCTGGGTTCGGATCGTTAGATGTGCTCGGCGTTCATGTTTTCATGGGATCGGCGATGGTGTTTTGGGCGTGTGCTCTGGAACTTTGCTTTGGAATGCTGGCGGTCATGGCGAGCCGGGTTTAAATAGATCATTTGCTTCATGTTGTAACAACTACTTCACGACACTCAAGAGTCACTTGTTGAAACCAATCGATCTTCAATCTATGCAATGTAGGTTCGTGTTGTTGCTTCTGATGCTGTGTGTGTATGCTCTGCAATGCGAAAAACGAAAGCCAACTTCCTCCATCTATAGCTCATCTATCACATGCGTCTTCTCGGACGGCGGCTCCTCCCAGTTTCGGCTCTTGGTGTTCTTCTCCTCTACCGTCTTATCGCTCTCGACCTTGGTATCCTCCTTCTTGGGCGCCTCGGCTGGCAGACCCTTGCGCTTGCGGTCCAACGCCGCAATCTCATCATCGTACACAGTCCACTCGGGAACCTGGCGACGAGCGCGGTCGAGCTTGGGCTCCTTGGTTTGCGGGTTGTTGCACAAGTCAATCGTCTTGGCCTCGCGCTGGGACTCGTCGGAGCACCACGTCTCACACCACAGCCACTCTTGCGGCAGGCTGTGGATGGGGATCTGGAACTGCATGTGGTTCGGCAGGTCCTGGTCCAGGTTTGCGAGGGAGTTGGGGTCGGCGCTGAGGGAGTGGTATGTCTGGCGCAGGCGGTCTCCGGCGGCGAGCTCGCGGAAGCGGCGGAGGTCGACGACGTAGAGGGCGGAGATGTGGTACGGTTGGCCACGGAGGTAGTTAGCCCAGTACCCCTGCTTCCAGAAGCGGAAGCCTTCCATCTCGGTGCGGGAGTCGCACATGGGGGTGAAGCCGTAGGGTTTGCCTTCGAGGTCGTGGTTGACAAGGTTGATCATGTCGGTGCGGACGATCTGGTCTGCGTCGACGAAGATGACCTTGTCGAGGGAGAGGGGGAAGAGCACGTCGAGGAAGAGGATCTTGTAGCCCCAGATCTCGCGCTGCTTTTCCTTTTGTTGGCGGAGCCAGTGAGGCCATTTGAATGTTACCATCTCGTACTTGAAGCCGTACTCTTCAGCCAGGTGGGGAATAAAATCTTTGAAGGAGGGAGAGAGGAATTGCTCAATGAACCAGAACTTGACCGTGTGCTTGGTGTTCTTCATCACGGAGACCATCATGATGTTGAGCATGCGCTCATAAAGGTGACCGCTTGCGACGGAGAAGATATTAATCTCCGCGTGCTCCTCGTCTGAGATAGACTTGGTCTTCTTGCCCAGGATGCCTCCTGCAAACTTCAGACCACGACCGACAAGGCTGTTGTCTTCCTCCACAAAGAGGACGTCCGACTCCTCGTGGCCTGGCTTGCGAGACAAGCGAGGGTAGAGCGTGGTTCCCTGGAAATCCATGAGGACTACCTCGGTGCCCTCGTCACCGGGGACGGGGTTCCATCCCTTCGCGCCAATGCTGTCAATGGTGTAGATTTCGGAGCTTCTACCCTGCTTGAGCTGGATATTGTAAAAGCCCGGGTTGGCTTTGAACTGGAAATAACCCAAGTTGGCCATGGCGATCGTGTCTGCGAAGTGAGGCTCCTTCTCGGTGCCAAGTACGAGCTGGGCACCGCGAGGAGGTTGGGTAGCTTTGCCCTCGCGCGAGTGACCCTCGATAAGAATGCTCTCAAGCTCGTAGGAGGCGTGGACGTTGGCCTTGATGGAGCTGAGCTTGATGTTGTCAGGGTCGTGAACCGAGACCTTGGGGGCGACGAGCCAAGATGGAGGCACGTCCATGCCAGCATTCAGCAAGGCTTCGGAAGGAAGACCCTTGAAGGAGGCTTCGAGGGCGCGCACCTTACCGGTCTCATCAAAAGTCGGCTCGGAGTCGAGGACATAGCGGAAGAATCTCTTGACGGGAAGTTCGTCGATCTTATCCTTCGGGTTGAGGAAAAGCTTCAGATAGACTCCCTCAAGCTCGGAAAGGACCTTCAGGATGGGGGCCCATCTCTGGGCTTGCTCGCTGGCAGGGTTCAGAAGACCGACCAGATGGATGCTCGAGGTCTCCGGGTTGCCGATCTCGATGGCGGTGTATGTCGAGTTCCAGGTGTCGTAGGCACTGACACGAACAGATGGCGCAGTTTCGAAGATGTCCTCAGGCAAGTCAGACATGCTAGAGAGGGCGGTAACAGAGGTGATCTTAGCAGCCGCTAGAGGTCCCGCAATCTTGGCGGTCAAGCCGAGTTCATCAACAGCAGAGTACACGGGGAGAATGCGAGCCTTTTGTTCGAACTCGAGCAGGTATTGGAAGTCATCAGCCTCAAAAGGCTCCTCGGCGGCGAAGGGACCAACGATGCGGCCGTTGAGAATAAGCAGGTTTGACCCAGGCTTAATGGCAGCAAAAGAGTGGAAATCATTGAGGGCTGCAGCATAGATCGCATCAGAGTCGCTGTCAGCTGCCTCAGAGATCGTCTTGATATCGGCAACAGTCTCAGCTTCAGCAAGCTTGTCGCTGCTCTTCAATGCTTTGTTGACAGAAGAGGCCGAGGCAGGGTTCTCCGGGTTGTGGACTACATCCAGGCGAACTCCGGGGTTGTTGCGACGGAACGCTAAGGCAGAAAGGAGAAGATCAGCTCCAGCGTCAGTTGTGATGTCAGCAACAACAGTCAACACTGCCCAGTTCTCCTTTGTGGAGTCAGCGTAGGCTTCAATGACTGGAACCTTGCTGAACAAATCATCATGGTCGGTGTAGATCTTGTTGACATCCAAGATCTTCAGGGACTTGTCGTTTTCCGGGTAGATGTATGTGTTGCGTCGCTTCAGTGCCTTCTCAATGAAGAAGTCAGGAATCCACATCTCTTCGTCAACCATACCCATGTAGACAGCCCTTTGGATGGTCTGCAAGTCGTTGGCAGCCTTGACGCTCATGGCTTGGAGCCAGTTGCCTTCACGCGGCACAGGTACACCGTCAATGAAGACAGGTGGAATTGGGGTGTTAGCGTTCAATCTCTTGGCCCATTGCTGCGCAAGCTTGATCACCTGCTGGGCACCCTCTGATTGCAGAACATCCTCGAACGCAACAGCGGTAGCCTCGGGCAGAAGTTCCCGGTCCTTGATGGCCTTCTCAAAGCAGGCTGCATCCGCCTTGTCTGTCTTGGAGTCTTGCAAAGCAGCATCCAAGTAGTCAACGAAGGCTTCCATGCCATAGCTGTCAAGGAGATAGTAGAGAATCTTGGCAACACCGACAGACTCCTCAGTGGGAGTCAGAGGAACCAGACCGAACCGCAGGGGAAGCTTGCGCTTTACGAAGGTGTTGAGCTGTGATACCACACTGAGATCTTCGATCTTGGAGAAATCGACAGGAACGATGAGATTGAAGATGTCTCGGCGGATAGGAGGAAGCTGGCCGGGGTAGACGCGCTGGAGGAGCTAGAAGCAGGTTAGAGAGTTACAACCCCCGTAGAAATTGGCCCTTTACTCACCGACATCAATTCCGTAGGGTAGCTCGCGTATTGCTCATCCTTTTCCAGGTCGTTGAGGAAGATTATAACCTTCCCCTCTTCAATGTCATCTGTCCAGTCAAAACGCGGGGGCTCATCGTCAGCCTTGGACTCGGCGACCTTGGGATGACCAAGGAGCGCAACAGCCTGTCCTCCCGAGAAGCCCAGATCCCGAACGCCATCAATAAGCTTGCGCTCGCGGCGAAGGATATCGACCAAGGTGAAGGCCTCGATCTGGCGCTCGATGAGCTGGACTCCGTTGATCCAAAGCACATTCATACCGCTTGGCACCAGCTGTTGGCGGTTAAGTTGGTGCTCGGCCAGGAACTTCTCCGATACATTGTGAGCGGCGATTGAGGTGGAGAACTTGGGGAAGTCCTGAGTGAGCTTGAGGAGAGCCTCGAATGGGTTCTGGTTCTGCATTACGAACGAAGCCGCCTTGAGACCTAGCTGTTCCAGCTCCGACTTTGCGAGAGGCTTGAGATCCGTCACCTCTTCTGCAGCATCCAGAACCTCCTCGGAGGTGATCTTTTTCTGAGCATCGTCACCGCCATGAGCTTCGCGATCGTCGATGACGATGTAGTCAGTTCTTTTCAACGCTAGTTCGACTCCGTAACCATTCACAGGAAGCGCCTCCTCGTAGGTGCCGGCGGGCTTCGTGTAACGCAGGCGGTACTCTACTTCGCCATTACGGGCCTTTTGCGCCAGGGCACTGTGAAATGCCCCAAAGCCAGGTGACGTGGGGTCTGCGTAGAGAACGGCTTCGCTTCCTGAACCCAGAGTCCGGTCGAAGGGCAAAGCTTTCGCTTCAGTCAACTTGGTGTCCTTGGGGGCGTCCAAGGCCGGGGTGCAATATTGCTTTCCTCCCAACTCGGCCCACACCTCACACCCATCCCGAGTATCAGACTCGAGCTTTGGCTCGACAGCGGTGCGGTAGTATTGATAGTGAGCCTCGACTCGTGGAGCAGCCGTTCTCAGGGACAAAGCCAGCTTGAAGGTGGAGAGAGCGTCGGGAGTGGTGATGTGTCCATCGTCGCGGAGGACCTGGAGGAACTTGTCGTAAACATCCTTGTCCGTCTTGGAGTCGGCGAAATGTCCGCTGGCGACGCGGTCGAGCAGAGGAAAGTAAGATGTTGCGTTTTCACCTGCAGCAGTCTCTCTAGAAATTTAAGGTCAGTCCTGCAGCTCCACAGACTCTGGGTCCCGGGCAAGCGACTTACAGCAGCTCGAGAAGGTAGGGACCGGACGGGAAGGCCGCTTTCATGTCCACAGTGATGGAGGGTACGGCGGCAACATTGGAGGCTGCCAACAGCGTCAGGGCAATGCCCATTGGCAACTGGTACGGGCGCACCATTGTGTAGGAGGAATTGCGACGGCCTGCGCGGGCTGTCCTCCGGGAAGGTGGGTGCTTTTCGGTTGGTGGTTGCCAGAATGTGTCTGCGGTCCTGGCAGAAAATAAGTAAGGTGGTTTG